TCGATGGTGGGGGACCCCATGCCCCCGCCAGTCGCCTTTCATGGGGCCTGATGGGTGGGAGGTGGCAGGGAAGTCGGTGGGCATCGTGACGACAACGCGAGTGCAACACGCATCCCCCGCGGGGACATACGCGCACGTGGTGGACCGCAACTGGTATGCGGATGCCAGCATGCCCGATACCGCCCGCCTCGAGGGCTGCAAGGACATCGCCTGGCAGCTGGTCCACAATGTCGACATCAATGTGAGCACCCGTGCATGGTATGGTGCAAGCAAGGGCAGACCTGCCCCACCCCCCCGGGCACCCCTGCTAACACTGCGCCCATCTCATCCCCTCCAGGTGATCTTGGGGGGTGGTCGGAAATACATGACCCCCATGGGGACACAGGACCCTGAGTATCCCACCTACCCCATGGCAAATGGGATGCGCAAGGACAAGAACAACCTCATCGACATGTGGCTGAAGAGACGGGTGGTAGGTGACGCAGTGGGGATGGGCCTCTGCCCACTGCCCCCAGGCACAGGGCTGGGCACCTGCTAACCCCCCATGGAATTTGCCGGCAGCATGCCCGCTATGTCTGGAACAGGACGGAGATGCTGGCCGCTGCTGCTGACCCCAGCGTGAATTATTTGATGGGTAACAAATGTCCTGTGTGCTGGGACCTGGCAGCCACCAGGATGTGTGTGGGTGCTGAGGCCGTCCCCAACGTGTCCCCTCCCAGGTCTTTTCGAACCCGGGGACATGAAGTACAACCTGGTGCGTAACACCACCACAGACCCGTCACTCACTGAGATGATGGAGGCGGCCATCACCATCTTGAGCAGGAACCCCAATGGCTTCTACCTCTTTGTGGAAGATAAGTCTGGGCCGGTGCCCCTGGGGTGGGTGAGAGGGGGGTCCCACATCCCCAGGTGGGGGTAAGAGTTGGGGGTGCTGCCATCAGTCCCCAGCCCACCATGAGCGCCCATCTGCAGGCGGCAGAATCGACCACGGCCACCATGATGGTGCAGCCCATAAGGCGCTGGAGGAGGCGGTGGAGTTCGACCAGGCCATCGAGCGGGCAGGTGCCCTGACAGATGAGGCACAGACCCTCACTGTTGTCACCGCCGACCACTCGCATGTCTTCTCCTTTGGTGGCTACACCCTACGTGGCTCCTCCATCTTTGGTAGGGCTCTGACCAGCCGCCAAGAGTGGGGCACAGCCCCATGCTGGGTGCTGCCAGCTGCAGGGCACCCTGGCTGCAGCTGGAGGGGTGATAGAGGGGTTTCTTGGCTGATCACCCCTCTCCATTGCCCCATTCCCAGGTCTGGCCCCCAACAAAGCTGCTGACTCAAAGAACTACACATCCATCCTCTATGGGAATGGACCAGGTTACCCAGGCACCAACCGAGTGAGGGCACAGGGACCATGGCCAGTCTGTGGGATGGTGCTGGGGGCCACCGCTGACCTCCCCACCCCCTTTTCCTCCCTCCCTAGACAAGTACGACTATTTGCAGCAGGCTGCCGTGCCCCTCGTCTCAGAGACCCATGGCGGCGAGGACGTGGCCCACCCGGCCAACGGGCCCCCGGTAGGGCCCCATGCCCCCCCTCTTCCATGGAGTGCAGGAGCAGACCGACGTGGCCCACGCCATGGCCTACGCTGCTTGCCTCGAGCCATACACTGTCTGCCGCCAGCTGGATTCTGCCGCCGGCGTCCACGCCACCCCCCTGGCCCTGCTCCTGCCCACCCTCCTCCTGCCCCTCTTCCACTGACCCCATGGCCCTGGAGCACCCCACGGGCGCTGCCAGACCCACGTCCCCCCCCTCCCCACAACCGTGGCAGCCGCAGGGGGCTGGCAGCTCTTTGGAGCATCCCTGGTCCCAATGAGGCAGCTGTGGGGCACCAAATCCCGGGCACAGGGGGGCCCTATGCCACCCGCACAGGGTACTCAATAGTTAATAAACATGGGGCGTGACGCTGGTGGGACAAGCATGTTAGCGGTGTGTGGGTTCCCATGCTGTGCTGTCCCCTGGCCACAGCCCCTTGCACCCGCCCAGCATATCCAGCGCTTTATTGACCAGAAACAGCAGCGAAAAATACAGCAGGCATCCGCGTCCCCACACTCCCAGTGCAGGCTGGCATCACCCAGCCCCAAGCCCTGCTGGCTGTGCCCACCTGCTGGCAGGGCTGATGTGGGGACAGGAAAGGGCTGGCATGGGGGCTGTCAGGGAGGGCACCAGGTAGGGGGGCTTTTGGCATGGGGCAGCACCACGGCGTCTCTGGTTCACTCTCCCTGCCTTGACCAGCACTGGGCTGGATGTGGTAGGGCTGGGTGAAGGGTTTGGGGTGGGTGGACAGAAGGGGGCGTACAGGGGTGCCTTGGGCGTGTTCTGCATTTCCTCATTTCCTCCATGGGGATTCAGGGCCCCCTCCGTTCACTGCACAGGTGGTAGGAAGGGGACAGGCATGAGGCAGCTGCCTCTGGGCAGATCATGCCCACCCCAAGCGTCTCCCTGCTGTCTCCACCCCTCCAGTGGGTGCCTGCCTTTGGGGGAGCAACCCCTTGCATCACCTGGGGGTGCCCCCTTTGCCTGGAGCGCAGGAGGGGGAGACGGGAGGCGGTGGGGAGCAGGCACAGGGTGGCATTTGGGCAGGGATGGGGATGGGGGGTGCCAGCCTGCCAAGGGAGGGATCAGCCTCACCACACTGAGCACTTGTGCGCCGGGTTCATGGGTGAGTTCTTGGGGCAGTGGAAAACCCGTCCGAACTCCTCAAACTGCGAGACACTGCCCAGGACCCTGCCAGGAGAGGGGGGCAACTCAGAGCTGGGCACCCCCTGCCCCCCCGCCCCACTGCTGCCATGCACCTGCTCGCCCCAGCAGCACCCCATCCCCTGCCCCATGGATGCCTACCCAGAGCCTTCCGGTGCCATGCTGGTGCCCACCCCACTTTGCACAGCACTGCCAGATGCGGGGAAGGCTGGCACGCACCCACCCACGCACCGTGCTCCCCCTTTTTGGGGCCAGCTGGTACCTGTAGTGCTCCGGGGCGTGCTTGTCCGTCAGCACCTGCAGGTAGATGGACTGGGATCGCCGCTTGATGCACCAGTTCTGCGGGGGAGAAAGGTTCCCATGGGTGAGCTGGATGGGGCACTCTGGTCCCGGCACCCACCAGGGCACAATGGCCCTTCTTACTGCTGGGGGGCTAGGGCAGTGATGCCATGGTTGTGTTTGTTATTGTAGGGTCTCCCAGGACTCTGTGTATGCGGTATAGATGGGTTGGGAGAGCATAGGGGTATGTTTGTTATTGTAGGGTCTCCTAGGAGAGCGGGCTGCCTGGCTGTAGGGTCTCATGGTCATGTGTATTTATTACTGTGGGGTCTCTGGAGGTGATGGTGGGAGCACATGTTTGTTATTGTAGGGTCCCCAGGAGCAGCGGGGCTGTGTGGGGTGCTCCTGGCAGGGCTGAGCCCCGTGACCTGAGCTCAGAACCTGCTGATGGAGCCAAGCCTGGCTCCTGGCCATGGGCACTGGGTCCGGCACAGTTTTTGCCCCATCCCTTGGGGCCACTGGCCCCACACTGGGTGACCCCCCCGTGACCCGGTACGTGCCACAAGTAGGGAGGGCAGGGGCTCACCTGGGCGAAGGCGATGAAGAAGAGCTGGTCGTGGGTGTATTTCAGGTGGTGCAGGGGGTGCTCAGGGCCATGCTCCCGCACCCACTTCTGATAGGCCTGGAGAACAAGGGGTGCCCTCAGCACAGCCTGGGTGCCCCCCAAACCTGCCCCAAGCCTCCCCTG